CCCCCCCCCCCCCCCCCCCCCCCCGCAAGCCCCACACCCCCCCCCCCCCCCCCCCCGCGGCGGCGGGGGGGGGGGGCCCCCCCCCCCCCCCCCCCCCCCCCCCCCGGCCTCCCGAGGCTCCTGGGTGCCCGTGCCACTGGTGTGAACTCTTTCCCTGGGGACATAGGAACAGACACCGGCTCCCTCAGAGCAGAGCAATGACAGACCACAAAGAACCATCCCACCCAAGGGGCTCACTCACAGACCGCGGGGGTGACTGTAAAGCAGCCATGGCACCACCCTGACATGGATGATGAATTTCCCCAAACAGCATAGGTGGAGTACCCCTTTGAGTTAACCCTCTCCTGTCAAAAGACCCCGAGGACAGGTCAGTTAGGGCAGAACCACAGGGCTGTCTGGGAGGTACAGGAGGGAGTAGCTGGCGCCTCAGGTGGCGGGCCCAGTGACCCTCCCCAGCGCATCCTTCTGTGAGGGAAGGTCAACTGCAGGCCCAGTCTGTTTCATGGGGTGCGCCTTTCGAGAAATCACAGCGGCTCTGATGAAGATGATAGCTGTTACACCAGAGGGTAAACAACACCCTAGGAGTCACCCGCCATGTGCACCGTGGTCCCTTGGAGTATCAGAATGGGAGAGGGCCTTTGGGACTGTGGGGTACACACCCCTACTTAGCCTGGGGAGCAGGGTGAAAGGCTGAGCACCCTGCTCCTTAGAGATAAGCGCTCACCCTGTCCCCCACCCACTGTGGCAGATACAGCGGGGCCTTTGTTAGGCTGGATGTCTGCCTCTGCTTGCCAGGCTAAACGTCTTCCCTCTTGCTCGCCTGCCCTCCCTTCCCTCAGGGCCCTCCCTGCTCTATTCCTGGCTTCCCCTAGTGATTTCCAGAGGGGTGTGGCAGGAAAACTGAGTCAGGAAGCAGAGGCTGAGCCTAGAGGAGTGGAGGAGCCTTGACTGGGGAATTCATGGGAATCACGTATGTAAGCCTGTGATGTTCTTAGGACTGAAGAGGAGACAGAAGGGGAAAATATAGAATGAAAACCATGTTCTCTCCTGCTGAGACCCCTGCAGCTCCTCAGTAGGTCTTACACCTATGTAGACACACACACACACACAAACACACACACACACACTGATATATATATCAGAGTGGAGTTCCTGTGTTTTTATTTGTTTGCCCTGGCTGTCCTGGAATTCACCCTGTATACCAGGCTGGCCTCAAACTCAGAGATCCACCTGCCTCTGCCTTCCCAGTGCTGGGATTCAAGGCTGGAGCCACCAGACCCAGCATCATGTTTTTGTCAGTTGTGTCGCTGAGGACAGAAGCCAGGGCCTTGAGCAGGATGCTCAGGGCTCCGCCCCTGGTCCTCAGCCTCTTAACCTGTTTTTGTTTCAATTTTTTGTATCTTCCCTACTCTCTGTGCTGCTGTTTAATTTTTGAAGTGTGACATGATTTGTGTGTTACTGTAAAAGTCCTGCTTGTGTGGTGGGGCTTCCCCTCCCCACCCACGTGGCTGACCCAGTCCCACAGTAGGTTGTTTTGGAAACCTGAAGCCTGGTTCCATTTGACTCATACCGTGCAGATGGGTTTTCATGAACTCTAAGCTGCCTTGCTTTGTTTGGGTCTTTTTTTTTTTTTTTTTCTTTTTGTTCTGGTGACTGTCTAGTGTCTTTTATAAGGACATGAGGCCATCCTCCTGTCCCCATTGAAAGGGCTCATGTCATTTGTGGAGTTCAGCTTCTCCCTGCTCTGCCTCTATAGCCTGGTGCTGCCCTCCAGGGTCAATGCCTGTTCTGTGGTCCTGCCAAGCTGTTCTTCTTAGTAGTTATCAGTACTTCTTCCAAAAAGGAAAAAAAAAAAAAAAAAAAAAAAAACAACAAAAAAACAAAAGCAAAACCCAAAACCCTGAAGGGTGGTGTCCTTGGCCCTCAGACCCAGTCAACAATGTCGGACTCTGCTCCCAGTTTGTGTGAGGCTGCATTTGGCCCAGTCCAAAGGTTCTGGGAGGCAGGGTGGCAGCAGTTTTGCCTGGAGTACTGCCCTGTTGGCCTTCTCCAACATTTCCTCTGCTCCGATGTGTCAGGATGGGAGTTTCTCCTACCAGTTGGCCTCCCGGGTCTGACTTCCTCCTGAGGGGCAAGCCTTCTTTCTCAGACTGAGCTAAGGTAGGGAAATGTGCATTTTGCTCCCGGTGTTTGTGGACATCGGCCCATGTGGGTGTGGCCCTGCAGCTGCTGGCTCGTCCCCCAGTCAGCTTGGGTGCCGGGAGCAGAAGCCACAGTCAGCTCAGAACTCACTAGCAGACTTTTTGACCCTCCTACGGGGGCCTCGGAGAGTTGTTGCTCAGTCCTTTCCACAGGCTTGTAAGCAGCCCCTGACCATCCCTGGAGGGGAAGTGGCCGCCGAAGTCCAGCTTTTGGCTTATACTCTGATGCCCAGCCTGTGGAGGATGTTGACCTGAGTTTGGGCTCATGATAGTGGCCAAACCCAGGACCTCCCAACCAGTAGCTCTCTACAGCCCAGCCACAGCCACTTACTTCTGGGTTTTTGGCTACACTGACTTCTAGAACCTTCTTCTACCGCCAGGCTTGGCATATGTGGTTCTGTCGTAGCTCTGCTCCTTTTCTAGTCCAGTGATAAGATGCTCCTTCTGCCCTTGGCTCCAGCTGAGAGTAGATGTGACTCCTTCTCACCAGGGACAGCAAGAACAGAGGCCCACTAAAGGTGCACCAGAACCCCCCCACCCGCCCCATATGTATGTGCTGGTGACATCACTGTCACTCCTGAGCCTCTGAAGTCCAGCTGCTCTGCCTCTTTGCAGATTATCAGCCACGACACGCGCCGCTTCCGATTCGCCCTGCCTTCGCCCCAGCACATCCTGGGCCTTCCCATCGGTGAGTGTGCCCAGTCCATCTCTTCCCTGGAGTCAAGAGTGGGAGGAGGGGGCAGTGCCTGGCCTTGCAGAGTAGGCCTGTGTCCCTGGCAGTGGCACCAACACAGGTGTAGAGGCCAGAGCTGAGGTGTGCTGGGGATCCCTCATGAGGCGGGAGGGAACAGCGGGAGGCAAGGCCATGGGAAGACAAGCCCCTGGGGGGTAGTGCCTGACCCCAGGTGACCCCTCTCTGTCCTACAGGTCAGCACATCTACCTCTCAACTAGGATCGATGGGAACTTGGTCATTCGGCCCTACACCCCCGTGTCTAGCGATGATGACAAGGGCTTTGTGGACTTGGTTGTCAAGGTGGGGTCTCCAGGGCATGGCTGCATTTGGCAGTATGTGTGTATATGTGTGTATGAAAGCCTGCTTTCTACTCAGGTGGCAGAGAAAGGGAGAAAGCGGAGTAGGTGTTGACCAGAGGAGAAGGGAGAAGAAAAACCTTTAGACCTAAAGGCTCTGAACTCGGAAGGCTTGAGAACTGACAGCCAAGAGTGCAGAGCAGGGCTTTGATGGACGGGTAAGAGGTGAAGACATCCAGAAGTCCAGGCAGGGCCTTGTACGCCCCAGTCCAGCTTGGGACATTGTCCAGAAACAAAGGAAGTAAATGGTCATGGACTGAGTGTCTGTTCAGGTTGGAATCAGTGGTCAGGTTCCGGGAGCTGGGGAGTCTAGCAGAGAGACAGCCAGGCAGACTGATTGACAGAGACAAAGAGACAGAGGAGTCATAGATGACAGGCCTCTGCTGACCTGAGTCTCCATGGCTCCTGTTGGCCCTGGATAACGATCAGATAAAGACCCGCACTGGAGCCTCTGCCAGTGTCCTGCCCATCTCTTCACGTCCCCATCCCTCAGATTCCTGCTTGTCTCCAAAGTCTAGGGAGCCTGTGCCAGTGTCCTGCCCGTCTCTTCACGTTCCCATCCCTCAGATTCCTGCTTGTCTCCAAAGTCTAGGGAGCCTCTGCCAGTGTCCTGCCCATCTCTTCACGTCCCCATCCCTCAGATTCCTGCTTGTCTCCAAAGTCTAGGGAGCCTATGCCAGTGTCCTGCCCATCTCTTCACGTCCCCATCCCTCAGATTCCTGCTTGTCTCCAAAGTCTAGGGAGCCTCTGCCAGTGTCCTGCCCATCTCTTCACGTCCCCATCCCTCAGATTCTTGCTTGTCTCCAAAGTCTAGGGAGCCTATGTCAGTGTCCTGCCCATCTCTTCACGTCCCCATCCCTCAGATTCTTGCTTGTCTCCAAAGTCTAGGTCCCTGGGGAGATGGCCCAGCCCTGACAGGGACACTGCTTCTCCTCTGTCCCTATAGTCTTAGGCCATGTCCCTATAGGCCTCCCCTTTACCAAGAAGTAATCCCACAGGGGCCTGGAAGGAAGCTGTTTCAAGACGGATGTTTGTGTCCTGCTGAGGCATGCGTGCACAGGGAGGGGAGGGCAGGGCTGAGCTGATGCCCAGAGCCTCACTGTACTGGCAGATGTGCCCTGTGTAGTAGGCGGAAACCTTGCTTTTACGAGCTGTGGGGTAAAAGGCTTCAGTTTGGGCGGACGGGACCTGAGGGGAGGTTCTGGCTTCCCCCGAGGCTGGGGCACCCCAAAGCTGGGTGGATTGAGAGATGCGCGTGTGGCTTTGCAGGTTTACTTCAAGGACACCCATCCCAAGTTTCCTGCTGGAGGGAAGATGTCCCAGTACCTGGAAAACATGAACATCGGAGACACCATTGACTTCCGGGGTCCCAACGGGCTGCTGGTCTACCAGGGCAAAGGTGATTGGAGCCGAGTGCCCCTGGAGAGCTGGGAGTGCTATGTCAGGGGCCTGGCGACAGGGCAGCTGGTGTTGCCCCCTTCCTTGGTCATCCGCTGTTCAGGGGTTAAGGAGCCTGCGCAGGGGTTGCCCCTGGCTGTGCTTGGGGGGTCATTTGCAGACTACCTTGGCTTGCTTTGCTCAGTGTCCCCAAACTAGCCAGCCAACACCTGAGTGGGAATCCTCCACTCCGCCCACCTTTGCTCTCTTCTTCATGAGAGAGAGACTCATTTGAGCAGATTCCTGTTTTCACTCCTGCTGGCTGTGGCTGTGTGGTGTTTTCCCTTCCCCGGGACCCCACTGGGGTCAGCTGCTCCTTCTGTCTCTCCCCAGGGAAGTTTGCCATCCGCCCGGACAAGAAGTCCAGCCCTGTTGTCAGGACAGTGAAGTCTGTAGGCATGATCGCAGGAGGCACAGGTAAGGGTTGGAACCCTAGCCGAGCCATGGAAGGTCACAATGCAGGGGTGGGAGGAGGCACGGTAGGAGGGAGGTCTGGGGCCAGGCCTGGGTCTCCCACGCCTCTCCTTGCCTGAGTGCCTGGCATGCTTTAGCAGACGCTCACTCAGTGTGGGGACCCCGTTTTACAGGCATCACCCCGATGCTGCAGGTGATTCGTGCCGTCATGAAGGACCCAAACGATCACACCGTGTGCCACCTGCTCTTCGCCAACCAGGTCAGTCAGTGAACCGTCCCCAGAACATGCAGGCTGGGGTTTGGCCGGGCCCTGTGTAAGAGTCTGGATGGCTCTGCAGAGCTGCTGAGCACGCCGGGAGTGAGGGGCAGGGCAGACATTCCGGCAGCAGCAAGTGAGGGTAGCTGCTGAAGACGGTGCGCCGGGCCATCTGGCTACGCCTCCCCCGACCCTTGGCACTGCCTTCATCTCGAGCAGACCTGGGACTCTGGTAGAGTGGGGGGACACTGGCCTGGGCAGAGGCAGAGGTGAGGCGCCTCGGATGCAAGCCCTCACAGGCCACTGAGCAGAGTTTTCGGGAGCTGCCGTGCACCTGGGATGAGTGGCTTCCCTTCTGCCTGGCCCTTCTCACTGGTGGCACAGGATGGTGAAGCTAGACTGTCCCAATGGCTGTGTGGCCAAACAGGAAATAATGTGTCATGTCCGGGGAGACCCAGCTGAGTCCCATATGTCCCAGCAGTGTAGAGGCCAGACCCTGGCGCCTCTCGCTTCTCAGCTAGGACTCAGGGTCCCCAGGATCCGTCTGGCCCAGCTCTACACTGCCCATGTGTGAGGCACGGTAGCCCAGGGGAAGGGCCTTGGTCCCTGCACAGCTGTAGGAAACGACCTCGATGCCCACACTGGGGCCGTGGCTAGGCCAAGGAGAGAGAGAGAAAGCTCCAACTGGCTGTAAACTTATGCTAGTAGTGGAGGCTGGTCCTGAACTCAGGATCTTCCTGCCTTGGCCTCTGAGTGCCGAGATCATAGGCACGTGCCACCATGTGCGGCTCACAGGCTCCGTTTATAAGGAACCTGTTAGTCAGCTGCTTGAGGGACTCTGCAGGCGAGGTGACTGGAGAAGGCCGCTGTGTCATTAGGACTCCAGTGAGCTTCAGCATCTGCCTCTGAGCCGCTGGGTGTGGCCCACAGGGCCATGATAACCCACCCTTGGGTCTGTCCCTGTTGAGGTCCCCAAGGGCAATCCCTGAGTCACTTGTCCTGACTGGGTGGCCTGTCTCCCGCAGTCCGAGAAAGACATCCTGCTGCGGCCTGAGCTGGAGGAACTGAGGAACGAACATTCCGCTCGCTTCAAGCTCTGGTACACGGTGGACAAAGCCCCCGACGGTAAGCACGGGGAACCCCAGGTGGAGCTGGAGGCAACCCTCAGCCCTGGGCCTCCACCAGGCTCATTCAGCACTCATGGCCTTTTCGTGGCTGTGGAGGAAACAAATCTCAGAGAGAGAAGTAAGTGCTAGGAAGCAGCAGCCCTTCCCCCCACTCCCCCGCATCTCCCACAGTGACCTGCTGGGCAAAGAAGTCCAGTTATCCCCTTGGGCCTGGCTCACTTTGGGGCAGGCCTTGGAGCAGTGCTGAGGATTGGTTGAAGTGGCTGCTTTTGTGTGGTTTGTAACCTGTAACGGCCTTGATATGTTTTTGTTTTTTTTCTGGTCTCCATGGGGGTCTGGGCCATTCTGGTTACCCCGACTCTGCCATGCATCTGCCTAAGTTGCAGGCCAAGTTTGGGGGTGCTGTGGAGAAGCCAGGCCTGTGCTGGAAGGAGGGAATGAGGCCCCCAAACTCCTCTGAGAATGCATTCTGGGAACTGAACTGTCCTTTGTTTTCCTGCCTTGGTAAAAAATAAGGGTCTAAGAGGTCGCATCAGTGTTGGAGGTGGGCTCGGTTGGTAGAACGCTCACTCTGCCCATGAGGCCCTGGGTCTGGCCTACAGCATAACAAAAACTGAACAGGGTGGCACATGCTTGCAGTCTCAGCATTCAGGAGAAGTGGGGGCAGAAGGAACAGAAATTCAAGGTCATTCTCAACCGCATAGCAAGTTCGTTCTGGGCCGCATGAGACCCTGTCCCCTTAAACCAACAGCGAGAAAACTAACACTGTGTTCTCTTTGTTGTAAAGAAAGCAGCCCCTGCATGCTCCTGGACTGCTTCTAGTTACCTCAGGTAGAGAGGGCAAAGGTAGACTGTTTCTAGACACCCCAGATAGAGAGAGAAAAGATAGACTGTATTAGCCCAGGGAGAGAGAGCAAAAAGGTAGACCGTACTTATCTTAGGTAAAGAGGGCAAAGCTAGAACAAAGGTATGATTCCATCCAAGTGCACCTTGGGGTCCAAGGAGTTTATCGGGGTAACCGAAGAGCATGGCTGAGGGAACACGGTGACTCAAAACTAGCCACGTCAGCAAGAAGCCCATCCCAGCGCGGGTGCTTACCCATGACCATGGCATCCCAGGAGCTGCCTGTTCATCTTGCAGGCGGCTCCACCAGAGTCTGCTGGGCCCATCCTTTTCACTGCCTTTGTAACCCCAGGGAGGCCCTGGTGAGCCTCCCAAATTTCTAGAGCTTTAGGAGCCTTTCCCTCCCCCGCCAAAGGAGTCTCAGTAGGAAGAAGCAGCTACTCAACACCATGCCGGCCAAGCCATGTGTGTGTGTGAGTCAACTGGGCACTGGTGTGGGTGTCCGAAGGGCTGCTTCAGACTTGCCAGGGAGCAGCTAACTGGAGAATGTCCTCCTGTGGGGTCAGGACCAGTGCTGCCCCTTTGTGGTGGTCTGTGGGAATGCAGGCCGTCTCCCAGGGCTGGCTTCCATAACAGGGCTAGGGCAAGAACTGGGTAATCACCTGGCCTTTCCCTTTTATTCGGCACCACCCTGACCCGCAAGGAAGCAGCAACAGGTCCTTAGGACCCAAGCTCAGAGCCAGCAGCCCACACGTGTGGCAAATGCTAGGTTTCCCAGGGTCTATCTCTGGGACCTAGATAAGGAGACATGCAAACATCGAAAAATGCCTCCATGAGCCTTACCTCTGGACCTGTCTGCATTCTCAGAATGCTTGTTCCCAGGCAGCTGTCTGTCTCCACAATGCCTTGTTCCAGAGGAATCCTAGGAAGCCTGCTGACTCACGAGCTGAGTCACAGGGGCACAAATGGAATTTAGGAATGGGAGAAAAACAAGGGCTGGCCTAAAGTGGAGTCAGGGATGGGGCTCACACAAAAACACGGCTGATGCCTGTCTGCCACGTGTGGGCCTTGTGTGCCGCTCTGACATCCCCGGCAGCCAGGGCACAAAGGAAAATGTGTTCAGTTACTTAGCTCATGGTGTCCACGAGCTGGAGGACTTCGTCGCTCAAACACAGTGGATCCTTCCCAGTCCTAGGGCCTGCTGGGACTGCACTGGTCCCTCCTGAACTGGGGGCCCATAGAAGGGACGTCCAGGCAGTGCCTCTCTGTCAGAAAACACCTTTTAAAAAATTACTAACCTTATTATTGCGTGTGTGTGTGTGTGTGTGTGTGTGTGTGCGCGCACACACACACACACAAACACGTTCCATGACACATGTGTAGAGGTTAGGAGACAAGCTTGGGGAGTCGTGTTCTGGGAATTGAACTCAGGTCACCAAGCTTGGCTTATACAGCAAGTGCCTTCACCCAGCAAGCTGTCTCCCTGGCCCCAGGTTTGTTTTTTTTTTTTTTTTTTTTTTTTTTTGAGACAAGAGTTTCTCTGTGTAGCCCTGGCTGTTCTGGAACTTGCTTTGTACACCAGGCTGGCCTCGAACTCACAGACTCCTACCTGCCTCTGCCTTTTTTTATCTTGAGCTTCTGTGTTGTTTCTGTTGGTGTAGTTGCTTTCTGGATCGAAAAGCCAGAGATAATCCCTAGTGTTGAGGGGGAGATCAGGGGCTGGAAGAGTTGAGGGGCCTGTGCCAGGCCTGGTAGAGCCCTGGCTCTCGAAAGCATCCTCAGTGGCAGGGGTCAGTGGCCCTGTGTCCCTCTGCTCTGCTGCTGCCTCTTCCTGTCTACCTCTGAAACCAGCCACCAGGACTGATTTTACATGCTGCTTCTTCCAGAGGACGTAGAGCTGTCCTTGAACTCACGTCCTCACTTCCCTTGTCTCTGTCAAGTGCCTGGGATTACAGTCCTGAGCCTGTGACCTCGCCTGGCCTATTCACTGTGGACTGAGTAACAGTTTCAGGCCAGGGTTCACGATGCAACTGTGAGCAAGACCATACTCCTGGTGGGCTGTCTCTGTGGTGGCAGACGAGTCAGGCCGTGAGCTCAGAGCTGGGGTTCAAGGTGTAGACAATGTCGCTCTGAGCAGCCTGGGCTGGGCTCCTCCTTCGGGGAGGCTAGTTGGTATGACCTTTAACAATTCTGGGTCCGCCGGGCCTCAGTTTCTAGAAAGTGAAATCCATATGCCATACTCTGGGCCAGGGGGACGCTTGTTTAGCATGCATGGGCCAAGTTCCGATCCTAGTACTACAAGACTAAGTAATCCTGTGGTAGTTGTGGGGGCCTATGGGGCAGGTTTTCTAGCTGTAAGGTGGGTGAGGGGAGCCATGAAGGCCTTGCATTCTGGTTGCAGGCTGTCAGGAGGTACCAGGGTTTGGGGCCCTAGAGCAAGGTAGGTTTACTGAAAGGGAGAGGACAGGGCGGACAGGGGAACTGTGGGTCCCCCTCTGACTTTGCTGGTCTCTTGTTTCTACAGCATGGGACTACAGCCAGGGCTTCGTGAACGAGGAGATGATCAGGGATCACCTTCCTCCTCCCGGGGAGGAGCCGCTGATACTGATGTGTGGACCCCCACCAATGATCCAGTTTGCCTGTTTGCCCAACCTGGAGCGTGTGGGCCACCCCAAGGAGCGGTGCTTCACCTTCTGATGGCCGGATGATGGCCACTCCCATGCCTGCTGCTCACGTACTCACCACAGCCACCTGTCCACCCCTTCCGTCCCCACCACTGCCCCTCGCCCTAACATATACCCACATCCATGCTGGGGCCTGGGTTCAGCCTGGCCTGCCCGGCCCTGGTCATCCAGCTGTACTGGCCCCTGAGGGGCCACTGTGGGAGCAGGCCTGTGTATCAAGTGGCCCCTGTTAGCCATTTTCTGCATAGGTCCCTGTCTGGCTGTTACCAGAGCTGTCCCATGACCACCCCCTTATGCACACACACAAAGACAGAGAGAGAAAGAGAGAGAGAGAGAGAGAGAAAGGTGTCAGTACCATGTCTGCCATTGCCGTGGACCAGTCTAGAGAAAGGAAAAGTAAAGGGTAAACAGATACAGTCCCGGGGCCCGTGCCTGCCATCCAACCACCTGCCTTGGGCCGTAGCCTGGCCTGTGCCCCTAACACTACATTAGACAGTGACACCCAGAGGTTCTCTTAGGAGGGTGTCTGGCAGTGACAGGCTAGCCCTCACTGCTGGCCAAGGGTCCCTGGGGGCAACACCCGGACACTTCCAAAACCCCATGCTCCCCTGCAGCCTTGGGTGCCCAAAGCTGTCAGCCCAACAGAGTGCGGTAGACCTCGGGGTCCCAGGCTTGTTTCTCCACCCCAAACCTCCCCCTGGCTGGTCCCCAGCCTGCGGGGCTTCCGAGCAGTGCCTCTCCTCTAGGAGACAGACCCGGCCTGGCCTGGTGTTGCCTCCAGCAGGTGGTGGCCACCTCCTGCACACTGGCTTTTTTAAGACATTTATGGGCAGAAAAGAGTTAAAGTAAAACTTTGCTAATACCAACCCTTCTGGAGTCTCCATGGGGATCACCAGGGAGGGGCAGGCGGGACACGTGACACCCACATGTATTTTGTTTCAGATACGCATTTGTGTTGCCTGTTCAGAGTTTGGGAAGTGGGGGGAAGTAGACAGGGAGTCCAGCCTTGTGCTGTCACCTTACTGGTGACTGTCACTTCCGTGTCAGCCCGATGGGAGAGTGGGAGGCTGGATCCCATCCAGTGCTGCCCTGTGATGGCTCCACCATTGTCCTCCCTTCCCTGATCCCCAGCTCTGGATTCTGCTGGGAGAGATGCCGGCTTGGTAACACTTGTCAGATGGGTCACCCGAAGACAGATCATGTGGAGGTTGGAGCTGTTCTTAAAACGGGCTGCAGGAAAGCCACCTGTCATACTTAGGGTCTGTTTTGTTTTGTTTTTTTGAGACAGGGTTTCTCTGTGTAGCCTTGGCTGTCCTGGACTTGCTTTGTAGCCCAGGCTGACCTCAAACTCACAGAGATCCACCTGTCTCTGCCTCCCTGAGTGCTGGGACTAAAGGCGTGTGCCACCACTCCCAGCTAATTTAGGGTCTCTATTGCTGTGATGAAACACCGCAACTAAAAATTGGGGAGAAAAGGGGTTTATTCAGCTTACACCTCCATACCGCTGTTCGTCATTGAAGGAAGCCAGGACAGGAACCTGGAGGCAGGAGCTGATGCAGAGGCCATGGAGGGGGCAGCTTATCAGCTTGGTCCTCATGGCTTGCTCAGCCTGTTTTCTTATAGTCCCAACCACCATGGGCCAGGCCCGCTCCCCTTGATCACTAATTGAGAAAATGCCGTAGTACAGCAGGATCTCATGGAGGCATTTCCTCAACTGAAGCTTCTTCCTCTGATGACTTGGCTCTGTCAAGTTGACCCCAAACCAGCCAGTACACCACATCTGATGACATGGTTGGGATGTGAAGACTCGGTCCTGCGGTCCTGCGGTCCTGCGGTGGCAGATTCAGCTGGTGAAAAAGAGTTCCAGAGCCACATGGTTGGAACAAGCCGCTTCTGAAAGCGCCAAGGAAAGCAAGTGGTGGGGGAGCTGACTAGGCAGTGTTTGCCACACAAACATGCACCCCGGATCACAGAACCCCATCCCGCCATCGTGGGGGTGTCCAGTAGGGCTGCCTCCACAGAAAGCCTCACCCTGGTCCCAACACTGGAATTAAATTATTTCTTTATAGTCTCAAGTTCTGGAAGAAAACGGATTATTTGAACAACTTTGCTGTCAAGAGGAGTCAGGCCTGGACTTAGTAATAAGACCCCTCAGGCCTGCTCCTGTTCTCTGCTCAACTCACCCCAGCACTGAGCCTAAACCTGCAGCTATCCCTTTGCCTGGGAGCTTGCTCCCCTTGCACACCTAGAGGTAGGTGTTGTGTGTGTGTGTTGGATTATGGTGGTCTAATGAAAGGAAGGAGGACAAGCCTAGACTCGAGCCTAGCTCTGCTCCCGGAACCAGGATGCTTCTCCAGGATCAGACGGATTCCTGAACCCTTGGGCTCTCCCGACTCCTAATTCTCCGTTGAACCCTGATGCTTTCAAATAAAATTAAAAAAAAAAAAAAAATATAT